TGTAACCTGCCCACATGGCAGAGTCTGGCAAACTCCCCGTGGCGTACCCAATATGCCAAATACCGGTAACAACGATGGGTCTCATTCTCCTAACTCTGAAAGAGCCTTGAATATGGCATTTTTTAAAAAAATCTCAGGGCTAGGACGAAGGAGATGTTACTGGGGCCTGCTCGAGGCAATCGACGAATAACAGGATGGTCATGATCGTGATCTTGAACGGGGGTCAAGTAAACCATAGTTAACTGGTCAAATCCTGTCAGCTGCCTGTTCTTATAAATAAGATTTTATTGAGGGGCCGGAGGTATAGTACAGTAGTTATGGGCTTTGCCTTGCATGCAGCCGACTGTAGTTGGAGACCGCATGCAGCCGACTGTAGTTGGAGACCGCATGCAGCCGACTGTAGTTGGAGACCGGCACCACCTGGGCTCCCCCAAGTATCATCAGGAGTGACACCTGGGCCACGACTAAGCCTAACCCCCACCTCAAAGCGTTATTGGAATCATCATGCTGACTGAGTCCACAGCTTTTGCTTTTGCTCTACGCTAGCTCCAAGAGCTCTGACAGCACCCAGAGGCCACAAAGCTATTTATTATCTGACCTTTTACAGAAAAGGTTTATGGATACCCTGACCTTCTGCATATACAGAAAGTCCTACAGTTGGATAAGTGGAAGCTGGGAAATGAACAACAACAAAAATAAATACTATCGTGTCAGCAGAGATAGCACCATGAGTACAGTACTTGCCTTACACATGACCAGCCCAAGTTTGATTCCCAGCGCCCAAAATGATCCCCTCAAGCCCTGCCAGGAGTAATCCCTGGGCACAGAGCCAAGAGCAAGCCCTGTGCACCACTGGTATGCCCCCCCCCACCCAATGCTATTAAAAGACTTAAGATCTCTGCTAATTAAGGAAATTATTTAAGAATTAAGTGCTCGAGAACTAGTCAGGGATTAAAGTGATTGCCTTACATGCAGCTTTAATCGGAGGCATCACATACGGTCCCCGGAGCACCTCTAGCAGTGATCCCTGAACACAGAGCCAGGAATAGCCTTAAGAACCACTGGGTGTGGCCTAAAAAGCCCAAAGGAAAAAAATGTCATTTGGTAATATTCAGTCCTGGCAATGGCCTGACACAGCCTTTTTTGGACAGCAATCTGGTGATATCTGTAAAAAATATTTAATGCACTTGATGTCAACCCAACCATTCTATTTTTAGGTATCTGTCCCCAGAGGAAGACTTGAATTTGTGCACGCACACACATTCAAAAACGTTTAGAATGCCGTTTGCATTCGCTATTTTTAACAGCAGAACCTGGAAGTAACCTTCATGTTCTTCAATAAGGGAACGGTTAAAAACTACAGTGTAAGAAAAGTGAGTCTAACATATTCTAATGTCATGCCACAAAAAGAGATGTAAGACATGTTGTTAAGCCAAAAAAGAAAAAGAAAGACCGAATAGGCAACAGAGCCAATATAAGTTTTAAAAGTTTTCGATTGTGTATGTTGATCCATTTTTATACAAAGAAATACAAAGAAATGAATATTATCACCACTCTGATACAGGGAGCGATAGCACAGCAGTAGGGTGTTTGCCTTGCACGTAACCGGCCAATTCGGGTTCGATTCCTCTGCCCCTCTCGGAGAGCCCGGCAAGCTACTGAGAGTGTCTCGCCCGCACGGCAAAGCCTGGCAAGCTACCCGCGATGTATTTGATACGCCAAACACAGTAACAAGTCTCACAATGGAGACATTACTGGGCGCGTTCGAACAAAATCGCTGAACGACAGGAGGACAGTGCTACAGTGCTGAAACATGGAATGAGACAGAAGGATGGCATGATGAGTAATAATGGATGGTCACAGGGCCCAGAGACAGCTCTAGAGCTTTAACTGGATGCCGGACAATCATGAGGCCACAAATCCAAACTCTAGTGCTGTCTGCCTGCAGCCAAGCCATTATGATAGCTCTGCTGTTTGTAATCTCAGCAAGGGAAAAACATAAACAAGTCAAATATAAATAAAGGACTGCCACTTAGTACTTAGCCTGACTCACTCTGACTTCCAGCAGCAGAGTAACACCTGGGGGGATACACTAAGTCTGCGCTCCAAGGGCCCTCTACAGTATGATGTTCTCCACACAACCCTCCTCCGTGTGTTTTCATGGAATGGTCACTGCAGATCCTAACATGAGCCCGAAGGGCAGTGGCGTGAGAATCCTGTCTCGGCCCTCACTGGGAAAGCAGTTCTCTCTGGGATTCAGTCTTCTTCCCAGTGAGAATGACTACACACAGTCCCCGGAAGAAGGGATGAAGTGCCTGTACCTCTCCCAGGGGGAAAAACAAACCCAGAAAAAAAAATAATAATAATAATAATAAACCCCACCCTCAAGGGATAAGCTCACATCCAAGAAGGCTCAGTGGGATTGTGTGACTTGGGACGATGACATCCCAGGAGCAGAAGCTGGTCAACGCTGCACCAGCCTCTTGCGCTCACAGTCCGCCCCCATTAGAGAGGGGGTGGCCTCCGTGATTGCTGATCTATCTTCCAGCCTGTAGGATCTAAAATAAGCTCAGGGTGGGGAGGGACAGCAGGAAGCAGGAACTCGGGGGAGACTGATGGGACCCGATTGGCTGAGGCCGGGGATGAGAATAAGAGGCTGGGGGAGGGCCGGATGCAAAGAGCAACAGCCCCGGCTGCTGTCTACCGCCCTGAGCCTCCGGCCTCTTTCAGAGCAGTTTCTTCTGGAAGATCCCAGGAGGCAGAAGACTCGCCTGATCGCTCCCAGCACAAATAACCCCACTCATTATTTCGAACCACCATTCCAGAGCAGTGCTTCTCAAGCCCTGCAGACTCTGCCCCGCTCTGGCCTTAGTTCCTGCCTGTACCCCCTCGCAGTCCTACTGGTCAGCCCCAATCTTGTGCAGCCCCCACCCAACCCCCCTCCTTATTTACCAGACTCTCTTCTGGGCCTCCCTTGGAATATCCCAGGGACCTACAGGGGGAGTAACAATGCCCTCAAGAACTCAGTTTCCAGGCTCGAGAACCCACAACTCCACTGTGAACACACTGAAAGAGTAAAGTTAAAGCACTTTGAAATCCTCCAATTAATAATCAACAGTGTGGTTTGCTTTTTTCCAGCAAATTCAACTCAAATATACATTATTCCAATCCAGCTCATTTAAGTTTAAGAATCAGGAAAGAATGACCCTACTAGTTTTGACAGTTGCCTAGAATCACCAGGACACTTTTTTTTTTTAGAAAAACCTTTACAGAGTCCAGAAATGTCCCAAGCAGAGCTGACTAACTCTGTAGGCAGTTTTTTGTCTGCTCCTTGAATTGTAGAAAAGAAGTTTTAATGGTAAAATGTCATTCCTTGTTTTTCACAATAGCCTAGTGAGGAGAAACGGGCTCTCCCAACTCTAAAAGCAGGAATGAAACTATACAGAGGCAAAGGGACTCATTCAAGACCATCCTGCTGAAACTGATAGCCCAGACCAAGGGCAGTCTCCTGACTCCTGTTCCAAGATCCTAACACCAAATAAACTGCTTCGGGGGGGGGGGGGGGGGCGCTGAAGGGTGGGGGGAAGCAGGGGGGCTGAAGAGGGGGAGAGCTCAGCAGAGAAGAGGGAATCTCTCACAAAAGTCCACCCCAGAATACCTTACTAAAGACTAATTCAATCCTTCCTTCTGAGCTGACCAGGACCTTTGGTGCAGACAATCTGACTCTGCCTTAGGTGTCTTGGTTTTAAATGAAAAAAGTTTTCCTGGCTGTTGGGAACCTGACCTCGAAGGAAGTCACGGAGTCCCAGGCCATAACCCCTGCCCTGCCATCCCACCCTGGCCTGCAGTGTAAACAAGTCAAAAGCCCTGTGCGCATTTAAGGAGCATTAAAAACAGCCAGGCCCGTACACTTCAAAGCAGAGTTTTCCATCTAAGGGGTTTTTCTACAAAATGAGTTTCTACAACTAGGTCACACTGGACTGGAATGCGCAGGGTGCTCCTGTGGCCGTTCAGGGGGTTGAGAGAAAGCTCTGAGGAGGACAGCCATGGGCAGAGGGGCCCCGGACACGCCCCAAAGAGACAGGAAATCCAAGGAATCTGCATGTCCCCAAACCCTCCCAGAATTCCAGGGAATCCAGGAACACTGGGAGCAGAGAGCAAACCAGTGCAAGGGTCCCCAAAGGCCAGTTTGGGGACTGCTGTCAAACTTCTTAGGGAGCAATTACCCACACAAGCCCCCCCACCGCCTCAATCACTTCAAAACTGCAGTTTCTGGACTCTGCTGAGAGCTGATGCCCATCACAGACAGGAGCGCTCGCAGGGGAGCCCAGAGCCCTCCTTTGACAGGCGATCCCAAGTTCCTAACAGGTCTACTGGTGCCTGGGGAGCCGCCAGATGTGCCACCAACAAGAGGTGCTCTAGATTAAATTCAAGAGTAAAACCCTTTTTCCCAGACTTTGGGCCCTGCCTCTCCAAGACGGGGGAAAGAAAGGATGGGCTGCAGGTAACAAGAGGGACGCCCAGAGCCCACCCACACAACCTTGGAGCCGCGGTCGGTCCAAGCCAGAGTCGGGGGAGGAGGGGAGGGGGTCCTGCCAAGCAGCGAACAATCTCCAAAGTCTTTATTCCTCTAAGAAGCGCAGGCACTTTTGCGTCACCCCCAAAGCATGAATCACCCCTGTGGCAGGGAGATGGAGGCGGGAAAGGATGTTCTTTTTCGGCACACTTGAGGATTTTGCCTTTGTCCCGCTCCATCAGCGCACTTCCCGCCCGGCCAGCCCGGACCCCCGACTCGCGCGCATCTTCCGCGGCTCCGCTTTCCTTTCGCCCGGCGGCCGTGGGCTGCCCCCGCCCGCGCCGGCCCGGGCACTGGGCACGGAGGGCTGGCTCCCCTTCCCGCGTGGGAAGCGCGGGCCCATCCGGCTCGCGGGCGCCCACGCCAACTTGCAGTCCCGGCGAAGTGCGGGGTCGGGCGGCCCCGGGCCCCGCGTCGCGCTCACCTGTGTCAAGTCCTCGTCGTTGAGCAGATGCGACTCGCGGGGCTTGAAGCAATTCTGACACTTGCTCTTGTTGAAGATGTTGGCCTGGAATTTCCTGCACGGGTTCTCCTTGGCCGCCGACATGGTCGGCGCGGCGGCGGCGGCGGCGCAGGCCCGGCGGCCCGGCCCGGCCCGGCCCGGCCCGGCGCGCGCTCCGCGGCGGACGGCGGACAGCGGCCGGGGGCGGCGGCAGCATGCACGGGGGGCTCAGCGCGGGCGCCGCGGCATGCCCCGGCGGGAGGCCGGCCGGGGGCGCGCGGGGACGGCGCTGCGCGGCGCGGCGCGCGGGCCCTCACGGCGCCGCCGATGCCCGCCGCCCGCCCGGCCGCCGCGGGCCCATGGACGCAGCCTCCTCGCGCTCCGGGACGCCTCCCCGGCGCCTGTCGCGGCCGGCCCCGCTCGCTGCCCCCGCGCCGCTGCCCTCGGCGCCCCGCGGCCGCGGCTAATGGTAGCGGAGCCTCGCGCACTCCCGGGGCGGGGCGGGCGGGCGGGCGGGCGGCGCGCTCGGGGCGCGCGGGGGAGGACGGAGCCGGAGGGGCCGCGAGCGGGGCGGGGCCGCGCCCCCCGCCGGCGTGACAGGCAGCCCTGCGAGCCAGTGGCGGCGGCGCGCCCCGGCTAACAAAGAAACCCCTCGGCCAATGGCGCTCGGGGGCGGGGACAAGGCGCAGCAGAGCGCAAGGTAACTTGTGCAGGCGAAGGAAGGTGGGGGCGCCGGGATGGGACGTTCAGGTTTGGTGGACTGGCGCCGAGGCCGGCCGGGTCCTGACAGCTGCAGGGGCCGGGCCGGGCGGCGGGGGAAGGGGCGGAGCCGACCTCCCCGCCGGGTCTCGGCAGACCCTGCCGACCTCGCCTTCCCGCGCGCCTTCTGCACGCGCCAGCCCAGCCCTGAGCGGATTGCTTTCGCCTTGACACCTACTGTGTGCCAACACCCCTCCGCCCCCCACCGCAGGAATCACGATCGGCGTCGCGAAGAGTCGATAGTTTGTTCCAAGTGCTGGAGATGCAGGAACTCATGACAGTTTCACCGGCCCCTCCACCAGCATTCCCATTTTCACACGAGGAAACTGACGGAGAAGTTGAAACTGGGAGGTAGGGCTTCAAGGGATGACTAAGAGAGGATGTCAGCCTGGAAGAGCTGTCACTTCTATTGCGGGAGATTAGGGAGGCTGACTCCACGCCAGGTACTGAGCTCGGCATTCTTTCCCCATTCAGGTGCTTGCAGGAAGTAAGGCTCAGACACCTGAAGTGGTTTGTGCAAGTCACTCTGTGGGGAAGGGCTGAGCCGTCTGCGCCCCCAACCCTCCGTGCCCTGTCTCCTGGCAAAAGGATGCAAGAGTCGGGGCGAGGCTGAGGTTGAGGAGTGGTGTAAGGTGGAGAGGAAATTTAAGAGGAACGTGAGCCTTAGAGAGACTGAAGGTGGCCGCAAAATTAGCAAGGACCAGAATGATCAGAGATTCTTGTGAGGGCAGATCTCCCAGAGCTTTGAATTCCAGCTCAAGCGCTTAAATGTCATCGCACTGGCAGTAGGAGTGAGTGAGGAAGAAGGAGTCTTTAAACAGAGGGTGAGCTAATTCAGCCTTCACAGAGGAGGTGACATTGAAGTATGTGTTCGCAGCAGCACCAGCAGCTGTTGCTTCAGAAATGGGAAAATTCTAGGAGCAGCAAAAGCTTCCAGACCTGTGTACTTTTCCACTGATCATCTGGCAACTAACTCGGAGGTGGATTTCAAGTCAGTGCCAGACAATGCTTTCCCCCAAAGGGAGCTGAAAAGTGGGTCTGTCTTTTGTGGCCTGAGTTTTGTGGCCTGAGGGGGAGCCCCCATCCCTTGCCAACTCTATGGCTACTGCCTCAGTGGCCTGGTCAGCACAAGTGGCATGGAAGAACTGCATGAGGCTCACAGTGCTTCTAAAATATTCAGCGCAGAAGTAGTGCAAGTTATGTAAGGCACTTGCCTTGCATGTGGCCAACCTAGAATCAACCCCTCACACTCCAGATCATGCTCTGTACTATTAGGAGTGAACCTTGAACATAGAGCCAAGGGATAGCACTGAGCACTGAGTGGAACTCCAAAACAGAGAGGGAGAAAGGAAGGAAGGAGGGAAGGAAGGAAGGAAGGAAGGAAGGAAGGAAGGAAGGAAGGAAGGGAGGGAGGGAGGGAGGGAGGGAAGGAGGAAGGGAGAAGAATGAAAGAAAGAGAGAAAGAAAAGGAAGGAAGGAAGGAAGGAAGGAAGGAAGGAAGGAAGGAAGGGAGGGAGGGAGGGAGGGAGGAAGGAAGGAAAGATATTTTGCATAGAGGGCTTAAGATGTGGCTCAGTGGCAGAACACATGTTTCACATATAAAAGATCCTGGGTTTGAGATACAACATCTTCCCACCCAAAACTGTATAGTGGATAATAAAAAATATTTATTAGAAGGGCTGGAGAGATATTACAGCGGGTAAGGTGCTTGCCTTGTACACGGCCTATCTGGGTTTGATCACCAGAACCCCATAGGATCCCCAGGAGTAATTCCTGAGTACAGAGCCAGGAGTTACCACTGAACACCATTAGGTGTGGTCCAGAAGGGAAAAAAAAATCATTGGTTATATCTAGGCAAAGGGTGCATATTAAATTAGTCCTGGTACATTTCAGTTGTTTGTGTGTGAAATAAAATGGTGGAGGAGAGATCAACAAATTTTGCCCATGTATAATACTCAGTAGGATACCAATGGTGGCCTCTGGACACAGGGAGTTGGATGGTTGAGAGGTGACCTACGTCAAATTTTCATTGTAAGCCCTTTTGTGTTTGGTATAGTCTGCATCTAGAATGTGTTTGAAATTTTTTTTTAATTTAAAAGTAGACCAGAATATGGGAAATGATCTTACCATGGTAGGGAGACAGAGACAGATGATTGGAGGAGGTGGGAGATGCCATGGCGATGGGTGTGGTGCTGGAACATTGAGTGCATAAAACCTATCATTAGCAATATTGTAAATCAAGGTATCTAATTGTTTTAAACTCTAAATAGTTTTTTTTCAAGTTTTACTCATGCTTCAAGATCAGCTCAAAGGCCTATTCCCCCTCCCTGCCTTTTTTTTTGCAGGGGAGGGGCACACTTGGTGATGCTCAGAGCTTACTCCTGGCTCTGCACTCAGACACGGCAGGCTGGGGGGATGAGAAGTGGGGGATCATATGTGGTGTCGGATAAAACCTGGGCCAGCTGCATGCAAGTCAAGTGCCCTGCCCACTGTACCATTCTCCAGTCGCTCTTGGCGTGATCTGCTTACATCAGTCTATACAGCTGGCACCTGTCCCATGCAGGAGGGCTCTAGGGTGGGAGATATGAAGAAGAATACAATCCCTCCTTGCCTAGGAGGAGCTCACACTTGAGCAAATGGTGATGAGTAAAATTGGGAGGCCAATAGACAAATACAACCCAGGATGTTGTGGGGGACGAGAGAAGGGTTCCCGGCTCTGAATGAAACCTGAGGTAAGATTCCTTGGGGAAAGCAGTGCCAGGGGACGATTTCTGAGCTGATTGAAATCTCGCCAGAAGGAAGAACGAAGAAATACCAAGAGCAGATTCTCAGGGCCTTGACAACCAAGGGTGTGGCACTTCAATATTGTAGGAGAACATTGGTTTGAAATCAACACTTCAATATTGTAGGAGAACATTGGTTTGTTTTGTACATTTGTACATTGGTCATGTACAAATTGTTATGATTCAAAAAAGTAATAACTGGATTTGGACCCTGCTAGGGTTAGGAAAGATTAATCCGGCCTGGGCACCATAGTCTAAGTCTACAGTGAGATGTCCCCAGGAAATCCACCCTACAATGTATCTCTTCCTGTGTTCATACAAAAAGGACATTGCTCTGAATTAACTGTGCAAAGGACTTAAGGAGAAGAGAAAAGCAATATTTACAAGTTAACAGAGCACAAAGAAAGAAGTCGCAAATAAACACAGAGGGATAGGAGCACTGTGGTGGGAGTAACCCAATACACCTAAGCTCCCTGTGGCAAGGCAGAAAGGACAAACCAATGTTATCCTACACAATATGACTGGGTAGTGCAGAGTGAGGCTCGGAGGATCCAAGAGATGGCACATGTCAAGGGTGAGCACTTGCTGGACAAGCAGCTGTGCAGCAGATTCAAGCTCATCTTCTTCAGGGTGCTGTTGATTGTAATGCTGATCATCATGCTTTCATCTCCATCGTATAGAAGACACCTGAGACTTAGGACATCCAAAGAATAGCCCTTGGTCTTATTATAGACCCTTTAATTGAGGATTCAACCCTCTAGAGGCTTAGGCCAATACTCTGGGAAATAGGGGAATCCCATTTTTTAAAGGGGTCAAACTTAGTGGTGCCCAGGGAGTGCTCCAGCTGAGTGCTAGGGGGTTGCTCCCAATGCTGTTCATGGCACCGTGAGGTCCATGCGGTACTGAGGAGCTAAGCCAGGTCTCCTGCATGCAAAACGTGCCCTGCAACCTGTTGAGCAATCTCTCTGGCCTTGTGTGAATTTCTGTTTGTTTTTGAGCCACACCCAGCTGTACTCAGGGGTTACTGATGGCAGTATGCTACGTGGAAGACCATGCAGAGCTGGGGATGAAACCCAGGCCTTTTGCATGCAAAATACACACTCGGTCTGCTGAGTTATCTCTCTGTCCCCCTAACTGAAGTTTGAGGGGCGGTGTTTGGGTCTCATCAGGCTGTGCTCCAGTTACTCCGGCTCTGTGCTCAGGGATCACTCCTAGAGGGGCCCGGGGAACCATATGCAGCACTGGAGATCAAACTGGGGTCGGCTAGGAGTTGGAGATTTATTACAGTGGATGGGGCACTTGCCTAGCAAGCGCCTGACCTGGGTTCAATTCTTGGCATTGCATATGGACCCCAAGGCACTGCCAGGAGTAATTCCTGAGTGCCAGACCAGGAGTAACCCCTGAGCATCATCTGGTATGGCCCAAAAACAGATGAAGAAAAAAGTGAGGTTGACTAAAGGTAAGGCCAGTGTCTTACAGCCTATACATCTCTCCAGCCCCTTAGTGATTTTTTTAAAAAGTCAGCCCTGAAATAAGAGCTGTTGGTCTAGAGTATGAATCAGAGGTGGAAAGCTGGAAACACAATCACTAGGACAATGTCAATAGAAGAGGAAAATGAACTTGGGAAATTTTAGGAGGTGGGATGGGTCTATTTAACTGTCCACTGCACTGCTGTGCTAAGCTGGACTAGGCTCAGCACCATGAAGGCAGGCTTAGGTCTTGTTCCTGATGTGATGCCATGCCCACTTCAGTGCCTGGCACACAGCAACTGCAAGAAGGAAATCCTTTTGTTCCTTCTGGTGTTCTCATGCTTCCTCCATCAAATCATAAAATCCACCCAAACAGGGTATCTGTGTCTCATGGCCTTGGGTTTCATTTCTAGCAACTTAACACAGCACTTTGCATGAGGTCAAATACTCAATTTGCATTCCTTGGGCTGTACCCTGAACTATGTTCATTTCATTAGAAACATCTCAATGTAATACTGTGTTTCCAGTAAGCAATAAACGAAAGAAGCAAGCAAGCAGAGATCTCTCAGTTGATGCCCACGTGCAGGTAAGTTCTGCTCTGTAGCACGGTTAAGTGAAAGTAGGAAAGAAAAGTCCTTGAGGTCACCTAGACCTGTGATAGTCTACTAGAGCTCTTATCTCAATTGATT